AGTGAGGTGAGATCAACATATAAAACTATACACAATCGAACTCTTTCGTCGACATAGACGAAATTTATGTGATGATACTTCTACATGACATAATAGCGAATAACTTAAAATCACAATTGTTTTGTGTTTGGTGAATTAGCGGCATCGTGACAATAAAAAACCGAAAAAACGAGAAGTGTAAAAACATTTTCAGATAACAGATCTCAATCCGACTTACAATGAGCAATAGCTCAGGATGAACAACCTGAAACAAGCTCTGTAACAAACAACGAAAACCACCGCCGCATTTCAATGTCGCGCTATCCAATATTCAACAACGTTTTCTCGAGCTAATGAAAATCAATCTACTTTTTGCCCTCGTTTCTTGTATTTTTGTAACACTTATACGTGTTTGAGAATATTTTATGTACAGTAGTCCAGCCACACGGCTGCACTAACCGTAAACACATTGATAATTACTTTCAGACTGATATGTCTTTTAGTTTAAGTGCATATGTCTCAGGACGTTAAGGATCATCAATAGCAGCAGTTTTCTTGTCATCAGACAAGAGGTTGGTTGATTTAAACGTGCAAATATCAAGGTGATAATTTGAGTGCCAAGAGAATACGAGTGTTCCATGTATAACTAATAAGTTCAGTGATTTATAATGTAGGGCTATTGTCACTTCGACTGTGAGAGCAACTACTAAGAAAAAAACGTGAGACCGTAATTGTGCTCCAGCCGACTAAAGCGCTGTTTTACGGGTGTTACCTTGATGAGAGTTTTGTGACGTGATTGCGTCGAGGAGTACTTTTTATGCTACACGCTAATATCAAACTTCTTATTCACTCAAGACTCAGAAAGAATAATCACCGGTTTAACGATAGGAAAACGCTAAAAATCCCTTCACAGCATTTCCATGGACAGTACTATCATTTATTTGTTTCTTCTCCCTGTCGTGTATTTTAACCTATATTCGCATCTCTCTTAACCGCATTTTAAGTAATTCAATTGTAGCGGTAAATAAATCCCCAAAATAAATAGCACTAAGTTTTCGACATTGGATGCTGACCATATGTTTTAGTGGACTCATCTAGCTGAGGGCGCTCGGTCAGGCATCCGCACCAGATCACGTGTGGTAACGCCGTGCTCAACATCAACCGCAATCGCTAGCCAGATTAGATCAGAGAATTCCGGTATATTGGTCATCGCCAAATATACTCTTCCGATCTCCTCGACTCTGTCTTTTGATTTCTCTTGGTGGGGACGAAATACATAAGAAGGTGTTACTGGTAGAAGCGTTGTCAAACACTGAATACCTGTGACATCATCACAATCTTCCTTATCTGAGGTTTTTTATGTGAATTTGTATAAAGACCAAGCTTTTTTGCAAATATTTTCACATGTTGCCGGACTATTGACAAATAAGTCATGTTTGACTAAGCTTAAGATCACGTCGTGGTTCATTGTGTGACTGTTAACGTTTGACTGTGTTCTCAGAAAGATTGATGGAATGCCTGCAGATAGATATCTGGTCTAATATCTTTGAGAATATTCACATCAATCCGTTTCATTTTATTTATTCCTTCAGTTATTTAGGACGCTAATCTGTGATGGAGAAACGCTTGACTGCATAGCACAGGGATTACCGTTTGAGTTATTTTTAAATTAAGCACAGAGTGTGTGTCCGCTTATAATACAATACGAATAACTCAAAAACGCTTTGCACGCTATATGGAAGAACGTAACCTGATGTAATAAATAAAAGTTGGTTCCTTAGTTCTGCGTTCAAACTGAATATTGGCAATCTGGTCGTTGCGCCGATGTTGTAATCTTTCTTCTTAGCAAGCATTCTTTCGCTAGTAACCAACTTAGTTGCACATCTCTGTACTCTGTAAGAGATTTATTTCTCTTTTGAAGAGGATGGGTGCGGGAACATGATGAACATCAGATCGAAGTCGTGCGTGTGTTTTAGAATCATTTATTAGAAATTCCAGAATGATTATGCCATAGATTGAAGCTGCTGAGATAATTTTATATAAACGTTCAGTACTGAAATAAGATGAACGAATGGACATTAGGTGTTTCTCTAGGTGTAATGGTTGACAAATACACGGCTATTGATACGATAATTGAGTCACTTTACGTTCAATATCCAGCAATTGAGAATCATAAATCATGGGCGCGGGAACACATGATCTGTATTGCATAGGTCCGCCGTGCGGAGCTGTTCAATCTGTTACCATTTTTATTCGTATCAATATATTATCCTGTCTTGAGTCAACATTTGTTCTGGTGAGGTCATAAACGGCAAACTGCTGATAGACAGAGTCAGTATGGACACTGGCATGACCTTTACATAAGATCTCGTGGCCTAGGCAGTTATATCATTAGATATACAATTCCGAGATTAAATCCATTATTCCGCTGGTAAATGCTCTTAGTACGGACCAAGATTTTAATCATCCAGTCTTCTGCAAAACTCCTGACACTGCGACACTTTATGTCGCACTCACCTTATTTACCGTGATAAGGAACATTCTGTACTCGAAATTACTTCCTAATCAATATAGAAGTGGGTTGAAGGAGCCCATACCACAACGTTCGACATCAGGGAAGGGTTGATGCTGTGTCGACAGCTATACAAAAGTCATGAGATATCGAATAAAACACCTATTTAAAATTAAGAATGATAGATCAACTAAAGTTTTTTTCATTTGGAATATGTGACATATGTAATTCTGAGATATGCTAGATTCCCAGAAATCATTTAGTAAGATTCTGATTTTTGTATTTTCACTTTGGAAATTTTAGTTTCGTCTAATGAAATCGCAAGTGGATAACAACGTTCAAAAGTCCTCAATGCGACACTAAAATGGTTCGGTATGAGAGGGTTCTGATCTACCAGAAGTTCATGTACACCAGCAACTACCTTACACGGCCAAATCCGCGCCCGCTATTCCTAGTCCATCTCACTCGAACTCACTCTAACGGACAAAAACTAGCCCTTTGGATCCATACTGGCACTGTGGTTCATGGCATTTCGTACAAATGTTTACTTTAAGGCAGTGTAGTTAAAAGGAATCAGAATCCACTAATAACAGCGGTGGAAGCATTAATTTTCGCTTAGCTCTCGACAAAGGAACATGCAAACTACTACCTGACAACTTCTATTCGCGCTTTACCAGTGTCAGCATCAGATATACAATCTGCTTCCGAGAATGACCCTATCATTAAGGAGACGATTCACGTCAGCATCGGTTGGCCGTCTACTAGTTTAGATAGTGATGTGAAGCGACTTTACCATCGTGATTAATAATGTATCATGAGCGAATGCTTGATGTTTGTAAAGAGGGTGGTGGTGTCAAAATCTCTACGACCAAAGATACCGAAGCAGTTTCATATTGATCATCCTTGTGTAAAACGAATGAAATCCATAGCTCGAAGTTATGTATATTGGCCTCTTGTGGACAAGCACATATTAGATTTGGTGTCGGCAAGCGGCGAGGTTTGACTCGAAAGTATCGCAGGTTCCATGACCACAGCTTAAGTATATCTTGTCCAGGATACATGTCTACTTCGCTGGCACAGTTGATGGAAATATTTGCCTAATTGCAGTTGATCCGCTTTCGAAATTGTCTGGAATCCGTCTCATGATGCCACCAACGACGACCAAAGCACTACAGCACTAGGCTGAAATTTTCCTTGCACTGGATTGCTTAGTGCAACCGTGTCGGATAGCGGTCTGCAGTTCGCCTTCGGTCAGTTCCAAGTATTCTGCCAACGGCGTACCTTCAAACATTTTTGCTTCCGCATCACCGTCCACAGTCAAATGTTCAGGCACAAACGTTTTTGGACACCCGATGAGAGACATCGTTATATCATATAGTTTTATGCCCTAGGTTCTTTGTTTTTCACTCCGTCTCCGATTTTATAAGGCTCGGTTTTACTTCTTCTAATGTTATAAGGGTTAGGTTTCCATGTATTGGATGTTAATTTACATTGGACGAATATCTACACTAGATTCACTCCCAGAGTCTATTCTACAGGACTTCAAAACAACTCAGATCAAGAACACATGGTTAGCATGACCACAACGTAAATATATTTCCACACCAAATACCCGGCACAACCCAACAACAATGAAATATCAATAATTAGTCCTAATGATAATAAGGATAAGGGAATATGTAACTCACCTGTCAGACTATCTACATGACTGACTAAGCAGACAACCAATCATTATCATTCTCGCCCACGCTTCAGGAACTAAAACTGTTTTCAAAATGAATTAAGGCAGCAACATCGTCAAAACAGGTATGTGGTTGTTGGAGTACTACATGAAGTTTCACGAGGCATATTACTTTTTACTTATTTTTCACTTCAAATAGTTGTCGCTTGACAATCATCTTCAGTCTTCCGAAAGTCAACAATTGGCGCTGAACGGCAAATCTAAATAAGAAACTTCACCCCTGCATTATGAAAGCTCGTAGAAAGATGAAGACTACAACACACGCTGCTGTTTTTTTCTTTTATACAGTGATCTGTGATCATTATCACTAGGGAGTGAACTCATTCTATACCTCGGATAAGAGTATAAACTACACAAGTAACAGAAACACTAGTAATGTAAGACTTAACCGAGGGAATAGTAGGTTAACCACTATGGATAAACTACTTCCTATCTGGACTCAAGACAAAAGTATTGGTTAAACTGTCTTGAAAAATACTTCTCAGAATCCCTCGGTATACAAAATTAAGACCAGTGTATGTCTGCGAAACTCTCCAGTTGTGTCAGTATCGGTCTTGTTATATGCCGACGAGTGGTCACTCACACTATGGAATACAGCTAACCCACAGACGTCTTACCTAGGAAGAAATTTAGATTGAGAATCTACAAACTAGGATGAAATAATTCCTAGACCACTGTTTAAGTTTTATTAATAAAATAACCGAACAACTAAATGTGTAATCAGCCAAAAGATTTCTTTTTTATCTTCATCACTTACAAAAATGAGATGCTAAAGCAAAACCAAGTCGATCGACATTAGTTTTCGTACAGTGTTTTATTACGAAAACACTACCGAAATGAACCTCTATATATGTGAACACAATAATATGAAGAATGAATGGATTGATGGCATTAGGAACACTTGGTCAAATTATTTCTGTATTTTTATTAGAGGGCAGCAGAGTAGTTAAGTATAAATATTGATGGAAACTGAAAGCATTTTGTAAAAAACGAATGCTTAAATCCTCAAGTACATAAAACGACACAGAACACCAACTTGAATGAACTCGCTAAACATTTTGATGAGAATGCATGCCTTTTACTTGAAACTTCACTACGGGTGATTGACTGAAAGGACAAACAGATACATCTTGAAAATAAGGAATAGAAATAATACTTGTTTTCGTGATTTCCTAATCAATATAAAATTGTATTTTTACTCAATGGGATATCACAAAAATATATTTATAATTAACTTTTTATTGATGTTCAATTTATTTGAAGCTATCGCGTAAAATCTTGGCATTGATACCCAAAAAATGAAAAGTACGAAGTAATGGTAAAGATCAATACCCAAAAGGAAATGAATACAACTGCATTCCATCCATAATAAGTTGAGTCTCAAATAATTGATTACAATTATCGTGTATGTTTACGCCGCAAAACATTTTATATTTAGGAAGAAAATAAAAACTAACAGAACTTTATTTTGTGATGAATGAATTTAGTCTTATTCTCGTGATTTACTTAATTAGAATCAAATACGTAGAGACTGAAACATTGAAATATATAGAATTTCTTAATGGAAACAGTAAACTTGCACAATTCAATCGTATGCCAACTTGTTATTCATGAACGATACATATTCTCAAATATATTAGACGTTAAAATTCGTCGTCTCTTCTATTATATTCACATCACAGAACTTTCAGTGAAATAATGAAACACATATGTACATCATAATATCTACTACAATATTTCGTGAAAAAAAAATTAGTCGCCAATATTAAAAATAGATTTCAGTCTGAGCTAGTAAAGATAAATCAACGAAGTGGAATGTGATGATCTTATTAGTTCATTACATAAAAACAATTGGTCATTTGGTAATTGATATGAAAAATGGTTACAACAACAAATAAATTTTTCAGATGTACTTGCCTTTGTATTAAAAAATTATTATCAAAGTATTTGTGAAAAAATTATAAATAGAGTAATGTTAGTGTTTTCAAGTATTAATTCCTAGGTTTATTGTTTGTTTGAATACTCACATTGATGCTTAGGACTGGAATTGATCGGTTTCGCGGTGGTGGTGTTGTTTACGAAACTGAGAGGACGAAAAGAGAATGTCCGGCGCTCTAACCAGGGTGGTGGAAATGGAGGACCAACAAGTAGAGTTGAATAACCCTGACTCCGAACCAATCGCGTACATGAAATATGAACCTATTGTTGGTCACCGGTCATCATAGGGCTGCATCTCCTAATGGTGCTCCACTGAGTTGTAGAATATACCTCTAGGTCAAAGGCTCGGGTGAGACCCCTAGGAAAACCAACTTCAGTTTAGACACTCGGACAGTGTCACAATCCTCACACAAACCAATGATGACCGCTACTAGTCTCATTGTTAATGTGTAGTGTATATGTATCTAGTGCCCTCTTAGACCAATGTTTATGCGTTCAAATAAATAAATTGATCAGCCTCTTACTGACATCCAGTGCGGATAGCCTCGATATCACATTATAAGCAAGGATAGATGTTGGTTAGTAGTGGAATCCAGGACGCGCGTTTCGTCCTATTGGGGACCCGTCAGCTGGATGTACCTGCATGAGTTGGTGTTAACTCCGGGACTCGAACCCAGTACCGTTCGCTCAAAACGCCATCGCGTTATCCACTCAACTATATGGACTCAGTAGCTGAATGAAACGAAACGCGAGTCCTGGATTCCACTACTAGCCAACATCCATCCTTGCTCATAATGTTATAACATTGCAATCTAATATATAATTGTTGATAAATATGTGGTTCAATGATAACTTAGTATTTGTTGTGGACGAAAGCAAGTGATTGATATGTCACCTTAAATTTATGGGCAGAATTAAAATGAAGCGAATTTCTATTTCAACATCATACAACTGAGCTCTCTATTTACTAGCTGTGTAATAATAATAATAATAATAATAATATAACGAACAAAGCTTCTTAATGAATTCAACAAACACTATTATTGTGAAAAAAATTGTTTGAGATCATGAATCAATTGATGTTAGACCACCGTTGGAAACCTGGAAACACTGGACAGCCTTTTAGTCCTAGTATGGGACTCCTCAGCAGTTCGCACCCACGATCCCGCATCCCGCGGGATTCGAACATCAATTGATTCATGATCTCAACCAAAAACTTAACAATCTCCACAACCCCATACTGATAATTAACATGTGCTCACTAGTGACTAGCTTCGTGAGGGAATTCTCGGAGTTCTAGTGAGAAGTCGTGACCAGTGGAGCTAATCCGTGTCGGGTAGAGACAGGTATCTACCTCAGTACAATGGAAGTTGGTCGCGCAATTTCGTGGATTGGTTGATGTTAGACACTAACACCATTGGATGCCGGCTCAGTGGTCTAATGGTTAAGTGCTCAGGCGCGAAGCCTGTAGGTCCTGGGTTCGAATCCCGCGGGATGCGGGGTCGTGGATGCGCACTGCTGAGGAGTCCCATACTAGGACGAAAAGGCCCTCCAGTGTTTCCAGGTTTCCGACGGTGGTCCAACATCAATTGATTCATGATCTCAACCAAAAACTTAACAATCTCCACAACCCCATACTGAAAAAAAATTGTAACTAACAGTGTATTAACGGAAATAATTGCATTCAATGGTCATGACTAATATTTCGTTAATAGAAAAAGGTAAATCACTTTAATAAAATAAATTTAATAAAATCCCACTACAGTGAAAATGGCCATATAAAAAAGTCTTCTTCATCTGTTTGTTATTTCTGACTAGTAGTGATCGAAACAATTATTATAAGGACAGACGAAATTAGGAAGACAAAATTAAAGGTAAAATAAAACGACAAAACCACATGTTAAATGTAATTACCATTGATATTATAATGTTAAACGAGAACAGTGACAGAAGAAATTATATACATATATGAGAATTATATATATATGCTGGCAAGATAAAAGCAATAACAACAAGGCTGACCAAAAGATTAGTTTGTAATCATCACTGATAGACAAATAAGGAGCAAAGAAATCTCTTAAAATTTGGAAATTAAAAAAACCGGAATGTATCACATATAGGTTAGTAAACAACTTTTGCTAATGAAAGCAGGCAGAGAAAAAGTAATTCCTACTACATATAACCTAATGTTAATGATGTGATTGCGAAAATTTATACATGTACTTACTTTTTAAGTAAGTTAACATCATTATCAATAATAACAACGGATATTATAATGAATTATCAGCATTTTTCATTATCATCAAGATAATCTGCTAAAAATAGTCTAAATGATTCTTGACCACTTTTAGCGTCAACAGTTGATAAGAATTCTGACTCCAGTAGTTGAACATAATTCGGTCTATCATCCTTGTTCTTCATAAGACATGAATCAATGAATTTACGTAGTGAATTTGGATAACAACTTGATTCTGGCAATCGTGGTGATGGTTCGTGAACAACCTTAAAGTAGAACCACATCAATTAGATTATAGTTTTTTTTAGTAATCATATGATTGACAAGTTTAAATAAATATACACAGAAATAACTTATTCATTTAGTTTTTGATATTTTAAATAATCTTTTATAAATCTAACTTACAGAATTGCTTAAGCCAATCACGATTTTCAAGATACGTTATACATCTTAGTGCTTACTCTGGTATGATATAACATTGTGAGAATCGTTTTTAGATCCTACTGATAAGAACGCAGTGAAGCTTTCATTGGATTGGCGATCAAATATATTTTTATAAATCGTAAACGATAAGTCATGCACTTGTGTCCATACTACTGAAATTTTAAGTGAAAACTTATAACATAACCTATCATCTTTTAATCAAAACAACCATACATTCTACTAGTTTATTTTGTTGTTATCTGACTATTATGTGAACAAAAAAGTCCCTGATTTTTTTTCGTGGACTTTGAAAATGTCACAGATCAATAGGAATTTTTTAGATCATTTAGTCTAGATGCGGATCGTAACGTGGAATTTATTAAAATATTTGACAACAAACGATAACATCTGAACATAATGAAGGGGAAACTGAGGACAGTTCACATCTCAATTGTAAGATGATGTTGTAGGGTGTGTTTACGACGGTACATTTGAATAGCTAAAATGAAATGGTTGAATAAGTTGACTAATTCACTTATTTAGTGGCGGACAAAAATGTCATCAAAAAACTTTGTTGAGAAGTCCAAACGACAATCAAATAATTGTTGTAGGTTACGTACCACCTAACTTTGACAAGAATGCCGAAGATGAATGGGATAAGGTTATACGTATTGGATCATTTATTTCTTTCAAGCTACTTCGGCCGGAGTACATTTGCGCTAGGTCCCACAAACTTGTACTTAGAAGTCACATGATTCGTCAGGTAAAAGAATATGAAGATCATCATCATAGTTTAAAATAATACGACCTGAATGTGATAGCTTACAATAAGTTGGAAAGCTGTTAACGCCTTCGGTTATCACACTAATATGGTAGTGTTTAGATTTCTAAGTATTTTATCACAATGAATTGCATGAAATAAGCAATTGAAGAAAAAGTTTCTGCCAGAGTTTTAAGTTTTATTACTAACTAGTAAACCACTGGAACAATTGGCGATTGGTTAGTAATATACATGTTTAGATGAAATGCCTAATTAAAAAGCCCCGAATCGCCATCACGTTGATTAATAAGCGGGATAGGGATTATTCTACGAATGTAATTATTCGTAATAAAATAAACTTCCAAATACAAATGGAATGTATGCTAATCGATAAAGAAAGATCTATGAACGTTAGATAAAATTGGACTTTTGAGTTTTGCACTAGTGGATATGATATGACGTAATTTGAGTAAAGGATGACTACAGAATTATAGACATTAAAAAAAGTAATTACCTGGACCAATTGCTGAAATACATTTTGCGATTGAGGATAGCAAGGTTTTCCAGTTGCTAATTCAAGTACACTCAAACCAAGTGACCATACATCTGAACGAATACAAAACCCTTCATTCTCTCGTGTATTAATTCGCTCGGGAGCTAAATAAGCTCTTGTCCCTATGTTGGTTAGTGCGATTGAATTTTCTAAATCGGCTGATATTCCAAAATCACAAACCTTATTCATAAAACGGAAACAAAAAGAGTTAAAAAGTTATGCAGTAATTGAACTTTATGTTGAAAGTATTCCCGTATCACAAACAATTAATTTATTTAATTAGAAAATACAATACATAATTAAAGATAATAGCTAATGCAAATTTTTCCAACTTTTTGTCTTACCTTTACTCGGCCTTGACAATCTGCAAGCATGTTTGAAGGTTTTACATCACGATGTATAACCTCAAGTTGATGTAGATATTCAAGAGCCTCAACAACCGATAATACAATGTACGCTAGGACGTCAGTAGGAAAAGTACGACCACGGTTGTAAACCTATGAAGAGTAATCATGGAAACGGAAAGTGAATACATCTACTTATAACCCAACATTATAGCATGTAGTGATAAATATTTAAAAAACATAAAAATGCCGTAGTTTCTCTATTTTATCAATGAAGAAACGAATGTTAAAATACCTTATCATTATTGTTTGACAAACTCACTTCGACCAAAAGAGGTGGCGTATTCCTGTAATCTAGCAACATTAAGTGGATACACATTGAAAGGTAACTTTTGTGAAAGTAAATTATCTTGATCTTACTCCTACCAGCAATCACTGATACTTCATAAAGATTCAAAAATAAGCTTCCCAAATAATATATTTATTAAAGATAACACAATAGGATCCTGACTTTACAGTTTTAATAATGAACTGCAAGAAGTGAACTCCATTTTCATTTGAGTTGGTCGATAAACCATTAGTGTAAAACTCATGCTTTGTACACAAATCAATGAATACTTGATAAATTGCACTAACTGATGATCTTAAAATAACAGATAGAAAAAATTATATTAAAATTTTAGAATATAGCTATCCAAGCTGCCATGCATCACATAACAAGTGTGATAGGAAATTCATAAAACTAGAAAAGGGGACGAAAACAATCATGCTATCAGTGGCAAAGAACTAGAGACAAACAACGTGTACTTGGAGAAAGTAAAGTGCGCATGTATGTGTATCAAAACAACACATATTGAGATATATACCTCGAAGTCTATTACTAGTTTGGTTGTCTGTAAAGCTTTAGTCAGGAAGTCAGCAACTGCCTACATGGTTCATGAAAGAAGTCAATTGCCTTGATAAATTGACATTATGTTTTGATTAGACCACCCATAATCTATTTTTAGCCCAACTCTACCATAGTCTGAATAGAAAATTAACATAAGATGGACGCATGTAGCATATATCCTAACCATTAGACAAGTAAACCTTTACACATACTTTTATTTCATCACTCATCGACAGTCTGATGTGATTTTTCAGTTGAATGAGGCCGATTTTCTATTATGAATACGTTAGACATGTAGTGAACGAAAACGTAGGTACGGTAAACCAATTTATTGTTTTATGCAAAATCAAACAGTTCCTTTGTGAAATAGGGTAATCATACATTAAAAACATCATTTGCGTATCTTCCTTGAGTTGCCCTTTACTTCATTCATTATTCTTCAAATCCTGTTGTTATTCCAACTGTCATGTTTTCCTTCACTTAATTTCAATCTTCTGGTACGCATTCCAATTCCAATTCCTGCTACGCACTACTTATGTATGTCCACACCATAAACGCAGCTTGCAAACTGGTACTAAAACACTCTCAAATTTTGGAGAAACTTCCTAAAGTGCTTAGAATTTAAATATTACTAATACGATGTATGGTGTACATAAGAAGTGAATTCAAATGAAAATAAACAGGAAATTCGAAACCTGAAATGTGTCTTAATTTAGTAATAACGTAAAGTGATATAACAAAGTCATACAAAATGTTACACCCATCTGGAAACAACTCACTTTCTTTAGTAATTTGTCCAAAGATGTATCCATTAACTCCATAACAATAAGAACATCACCTTCACAAAACAGACCACAGTAACAAGTAACCACAGATCGGTGATTACAGCGTGTACCAACAGCCAATTCTCGAGAAATAAGAGGTCTTGAGAGGTAATTCAGATGGACGGAAATGTGTTTGACAGCAAAAACGTGTGACGTGGGTGTATGGATCATTTTTTCTACTCTTCCATAATACCCAGATCCTAAAGAATAGAGGTTAAATGGCTACTGAAAATTCAAGCAAAGTCATGATGAAGAATTAATACAGGAGACAATCATCGAGTACTTCCATTAATTAACATAAATTATCCGCTGAGAATACAATTATTGTTAAGCCATATCAATAACTATATCTGGATCTGGTAACATTTTGAATTTCGATACATAAACTCATCAGTTGAGATGGCTGGAACACGTGTTACGTATGCCCAACGATCGACTGCCTCGACGTGCGATGTTCAGTGGTATAGGAGTAGGTTGAAAGAAAGCTAGGGGCGGCCAGACCAAAACATGGCACAAGTCCATGAAGCCACTGACAAGTGGACTAAGTCTCGTTGGTAGGTGTAGACTACCTGGTTGGGGACCGCGAGATGATAGCAACCGATGGTTAGAGACCCTGAATGACATGGCTCAAAATCGTTTGCAATGCCGCAGGTGTATACACTCTTTGTGTTCTCCCAAATTTTGATCTCCTGACTCCTCCTTGTCTCTTTTTTTCTCTTCCCAAATTTATTTCACTGTATTATACTCTTTAAATAACATCTCCAAACACTAATTTTCCTGATTACTGCTTATACTCTTATTACCTCTACCACTACGGGATTTGAATCGACCACTGCATCTCTGTGCTAATGTGGTGTGGCAACTCGAACTGATGTACGTACGTACGAAGTTCTACGTTGTTACTGACTGACTGACTGAAAAAACATATTAGGTTTATTCAACAACAGTGAGGGACAAATAATCGTGTATCATCATCTGTCGGATGAATTAAACGTAGAGTAATGAAATTATGTAAAACCGATGTTTTAACAGACTAGTGAATACAATATATATTGGATAACATCATTAAGATAACAGAACTGCATTCAAAATTAACTAAGTTAAAGTAAATAAATTTTTGCAGTAGCAGTGATTTAACCAGAATGTGTCATACGCTACTTCCCAAGTTGATATGAATACTTAAATCTTCAGTAAATAAATCGAATCATGATTTTTGACTAATAGCTCATCAGCAGTGAGTTGACATCGGCTTTCATGCAACAGAACTCCTTCAACGTAGCCGAAATACATATGTTAAGAAAGTGAAACATAAGTTACAGAAAGGCTCATCCCGAATCAAAATAAGGAAGTGTTGAAATTCTATTAAGTTGTATGGTGAATTTTATTTGCTGAAATAGTGAATAGAGTAAACTGATCTATTTTACATTAGTTTAACACTACGACTTCAAGCAGTATACATGGTATGATCAATAGTTTGGATCAGACGAATATATAACCTAGAAAAACATACTAAGTGATAGTAAAGTGTGAATTTTAGAAGACAGGCAAAATCATTATTAACATTCAGTGACTGATTCAGAAATCCTTAACTCCTAACCGTTAGGAAAGAAAAACAAACCCGATGAGCTAAGTGGCAAGTATGCTGGTAAAGTAAAATAAGTTGATAATAGGAAGAATTAAACTTTGTGCTACTATGAGGACGTTTGCAGAAACCGGTTGCAAGGCAATCTAACAAGACAAGATTTACAGAACTTAATCCTAGATTTATTTGAACACATAAATATTGGTACAAAGAGGCACCGAGTACATATGCGTCACACAAGTCACTTGAATTGCGAGTGATCTGCGATACTGCCTGGGTGCCCAAACCGAAGTAGGTTGTTTTCTTACGGGGCCACACCCGGAGCATTTGACCTAAAGGTCTGATCCACAAGTCAATGAAGCAGCGTCAGTGGATGCAATCCCATGGTAGCTGGTGACCAATAATTGGTTCACACGCCATTTGTTCCCTTAGGAACCTAGAGCCCATGTGGACAAAATATTGTCCCGCATACGCACACCTTAAGAACAGAAAGGATACAAATGAATTTCAAGAGACCGTCTTGACTTATGATTTCATGCGAAAACATTATGTCACAATAATTAATATGCACCGTACGGACATTTTAAGAGTAAGAAAATATCAACATCTTGAAAGGTCGGAAATACTCGTGCTAATGGGGTCCACTGGCAGCAAGAAGTCTGGTGTGAGCGAAACAATTTGTGAGGATGACGGGACAACAGATAGGGCTGGCTATGTCTTTGGAAAGTCTTAATATTGATGTTTGTTGTCTATCCGAGACCCATATTCAAGACTCTGGTGAAGTACTACAAATTCGATCTCCATCTGTCGCTTCGAAAAGCTTGTTTTACGTGCGCTTATCCGGGGACCCTGTGGCATCTTCGTCTGGCCTCGCTGGCGTTGGTGTCGCACTAAGCGCTAGAGCTGAGGCAGCACTAGTCGACTGGATCCCCATTAACAGTCGGTTATGTGCTGTTAGATTAGAAAGTTCCATCAAAGTGAGGAGAAATCAGCGTGAGAAACGACGTCTTTTTGTCATCTCCGCTCATGCCCCGACAGATTGCAGGCCGGATGCAATCAAGTATGAGTTTTACCACTAGTTATCTGTTCTTCTCCAGAAAGTGCGTTCGACAGATATTGTAGTACTAGCCCGAGACTTGAAGATCAGGTCGGGCGTCTAGGCACAGAAGAGAGTCGTTTAGGTGGCCGATGGGGACTCGTTGGTCGCAGGTCAGATAACGGGGACCGTCTACTGCAACTTTGCACAGACCACAACCTGTCTACTCGGTGTGACCGTGAGTTTGACCACAAACGAAGGATGTTACGCGAGTATACAGTTACTGTCAGTCCTACCCACTATCTCGCGGCGGTGTGTTGTTTACGAAATTGAGATGACGAAAAGAGAATGTCCGGAGATTTAACATGGTTGGTGGATATGGAGAATCCACCTAGTGGAGTTGGACAACCCTGATTCCAAACCAATGGTGCACATGAGCTCCAGAAAATAAATAGCGTATGATCCGTGGGACTGCATCTCCTTGTGGTAGCTTTGCTACGTTAATCGATCAACTCGATAACCATTGTAATATAAACTATCAACGGTGTTTGAAATCAAAAGGCAATGAGAAACAGCAACTACAGTTTATTAGAGGATAACGCAGATCACAAAGCTGTTAGCACATCGAGCGTATGTGAAGCGGAGAAATGAATGGGTATATGCGAGCAATTACATAGGCAAATTTCATTGGGGTGCAGCGAGGCAAGGGCTAATAATAGGATTTCAATACGTACATGCATGGGGAGGAGGACGAATCATCGATTAATATTTAAGGAATCAACATTCTAGCTATAGTCTTTTATGTGATCCAGTAATCACAACGGTACAAATAATGTTGTTTGTTAAATAAGTTAGTAAAAGAGCTTAACCAAAATTAACCATGATGGAAATCGGTTAAAGGTTAGTTGCTATATCCCAAAGTTGCCCTACTACCTTGTGAGTTGAACCTTTAGGTAGAGGGCCCCGGGTGTGGCCCTCTAAAAAAACCACATGCCTCGGTTTTGATGCCTGGACAATATCGTAGCACACACGAATCAGTGATGATAAATCCCGGAAATATTACTCTTGCTTTAACACTCATTCAGAAAAATTTTATTCACAACCATTTGATGACATTCGTAATTATTTCTTTCATACCGCGTCACTTATGTACTTCCTTTTATACTCATTTTGCTTACTTTAAATTTCAACTTATACAGCAGTTCGCGTATGGTGGAAGCCCTGTCCTATCTAAATGATCTCAAGTCACTGACTGATCGAAAGTTGAGTGCCACCACAGAATACGAATACTGAAGCAGTCTTTCTAAGAAAACGTATGTCATTCAACCTAGCCCCCATCAAAGTTCACACACTAATGCAGATCAGACAATAAATAGGCCTGGCTATGTCTTTAGAAGTTTCAAAGTCGACATCTATTGTCTATCCGAGACCCGTATTCAAAACTAGTGAAGTACATCAAATTCGCTTTTCATCTGTCGCCTTGAAAAGCTTGTTTTACGTGCGCTTATACGTAGACTCTGTTACATCGTCGTCAGATTTTCCTGGCGTTCGTGTCGCACTAAGCTCCAGAGATGAGGTAGCACTATTTTTGGGTCCCTAAAAACAGTCGGTTATGTGTTGCTATATTAAAAAGCTACATTAAAGTGTGAATAAATCGGTATTTGAAACAATGTTTTTTCGTCATCTCCGCCTACGACACTACATATTGCAGGACTATTCTCTGGGATTGTCTATTGAAGTAGGGTGTGCCTGAGAAGTTCATTAACATCCTAAAAGCCCTATATACAAACACCTCAGGCAGAGTGAGGGCATACAACCACCTCTCTCAATTGTTCCATTCGAGCAGTGGGGTTAGGCAGGGTTGCCCAATCTCACCATTCCTCTTCAACTTTGCCATCGATGACATTCTGGAAACAGCTCTGATGAATGTAAGTAATGGTGGTGTGGATCTGTTGCCTGGAGAAAGACTTCTCGACCTTGAGTAAGCGGACGATATTGTCTTACTGTGCGATAATGCTCAAGGCATGCAATCCGCACTTAATCAGTTGGCAATCAGTGTCCGTAGGTATGGTATGTGCTTTGGACCTTCGAAGTGCAAAGTACTTCTACAAGACTGGCAGGATTCTAATCCTGTACTCACTCCGGATGGTGATCAGATAGAAGTAGTCGAGAAGTTCGTGTATCTAGGTAGCTGCATAAGTGCTGGTGGTGGCGTAAGTGATGAGATCAATGCACGTATAGTGAAAACCAAAGCGGCTTATGCCAATCTGGGCCATATTTGGCGCCTTCGTGATGTTAGTCTGGCTGTAAAAGGTCGGATCTACAACGCGTCGGTGAGAACAGTTTTGCTCTATGCTTTCGAAGCCTGGCCTCTCCGAGTTGAGGATGTTAGACGGCTCTCTGTGCTTGATCATCGTTGTCTCCGAAGGATTGCTGACATTCAATGGCAACACCATCTTAGTAATGTAGAGGTTCGGCATCGTGTGTTCGGATGCAGAGACGATAGTTTAATTGATGCCATCATCTTGAAACATCGACTTCGGTGACTTGGACATGTTCTACGAATGTCGTCCTAGAGAATTCCACGTCGTGCATTATTTGCCGCCGCCTGGACTGGTTGAAAAAAGCGGAGGGGTGGTTTGTGTATTACATGGTGTTGTGGTATGAAAGAAAACTGTACAGGACTGGCTTATGTTGGTCCTTCACGACTCCCTGGTTAGGGTACTAGTGACGGTTCAACACAGTGGCTAGAGACGATATCAGATAGGGCTCAGAATAGAAGCCAGTGGCGATCCTGCTGTAGCCTTCTTTTACTTTCTTCATGAAAAAAATGGTTATATCTTCCTTAACTGAAAGATTTCTTCCGGTTATATCTTTACGTTTCCCCCATTATTACTATTCTTATTACTATCACACTACCTTACACTAATCTGTTCGTTATTGTTCTTTATTTTTTTCTCTTCGAATTTTCATTGTTTTGTGTGGCGCATATATATTTGGTGCCCTCTTGTACCAATATTTATGTGTCCAAAATAAATAGATAAATAAACGTACTAATCATATCAAGTAGTTTTAGATGACAAATCAAGGTCGAAAACCAAACAAGTCCTCCGATTAATACAACAAAGAAACCAAACGTAACACATCTGAACAATCCCAAAATGTAAACTTAAGTTGGAACCTGATTCAAATCTATATCCAAAACAAACATGATCATGTGAAAAACCGTTAGAAAATGAGTGGCAATAAACTCCACTTTCACAAATTTAATCCTGCACTAGGAGATCAAGTAAAATGGAGCAAGAATTAATGTTAAGTGGAAGAAAAATGGTACACCTAATGATAACGGGTGCACACTACAAAATCCGCAAATACCAACACGTCATAGAGGACCAAAAGATAAACTACAAAGGACACTTACATCAGAACACTTGGAAATCTTGACAACAGCCATCGAGATATCATGCAAACGACACAGAGAACAAAGAAGAAACACCTTAAAGAAAAAACTAATCAAGATCTCAAAACCACCCGTGGAAGAAAACACAAACAACTGCGTGGTCAATTTGTCAAAACAACCACTAACAAATACGGAAGAACACCTACTCCAAAAAGGATTAAACTACAATACAAGCGACGCCTCAAAGCTGGAATTCTTCGCAGCACTGGAGTCATCACTCAAAACTTCCGGAATCAGTGAAGAAACACAACAAGAAATAAGGCAAACTATAGTACCGCTAACTCAACAGGTGAAGGAAAACAACCAACTGACTCCACAAGAACAAAAGGCCTTAAAAGAACTCAAAAATAGAAAGGATATTGTCATAATACCAGCGGACAAAGGACGCACCACAGTAATCATGGACAAAGAAGAATACGTCAAAAAAGCTGAAGAACTACTGGAAGATAAGAGCACATACAAACTGATGGATACAAATCCCGTCAAAAAATTAGACAACCAAATCTCAAAGACCTTAAACAAGCTAGTCAAAGCAGGAGAAATAACAAAACAAGAACAATGGAGAATGAAATCCAACGGACCAGTACTCCCTCGATTCTACGGCAGACCCAAAATACACAAACCAAACATCCCACTACGTCCAATTGTAGCACTCCCCGGAACACCAACGTACAATTTGTCAAAAGAAATTTCAAGAATACTGAAACATTTAGTAGATTCAGCCAACCACTCCATCAAATCCCCTACACAATTCCTGGACCAAATTAAGGACATCCAAATCAACAACGACGAACTGATGATATCCTTCGACGTAACAGCACTATTCACCTCAATTGAACCAAAATTAGCAAAAGAAACTATATCCCTGCTGCTCAACAACGACACAAACCTCACTAAATACACGAAGCTCCAAACTCAAAGTCTACAGGAACTAATCAATTTATGCCTAACAACATATTTTCAATTCAACAACAAAATCTACGAACAAACGAAAGGGACACCAATGGGATCACCAATATCAGGATTGATCGCAGAGGCAGTGATGCAAAGACTAGAAGCCGCTATATTACCAGTGATCAAACCAAAAATTTGGATTCGTTATGTAGACGACACCTTCGTCATCGTCAAAAAGAATGAACTAGAAAACACTTACAAACTGATCAACAACGTCTTCGATGGAACAGGAGTCAAACAACCAACTAGCATTCTTGGGTATATTGATCACTAGAACCGACACAGGAAAACTGGAAACTCAAGTATATAGGAAACCGACCCATACAGATCAAATTCTCAACTACAATAGCAACAACCCAAGAGCTCACAAAATCAACTGCGTACACAATTTGTTCAAGAGGACGAGAACACATTGCAGCACACTGGCAGCACGAAGAAATGAAGAGAAATACCTGAAGGATGTATTTCAGAAGAACGGCTACCCAATCAACTTCATCAAAAAGTACCAACCGCACGCAGCATCAGAACTCAAGTCAAGCACAAAAATCAACAAAAGGATCACCCTACCATATATACAAAGAATATCAGAAACCGCAACAAGACTGCTGAAAACCTTCGGAATAGGTGTAGCACACAAACCGACAAAATCACTACAATCAATCCTATGCAAACCAACAGATGAAATAACAAAGGAAGACAAATCAAACATCATCTACAAAATAAATTGTGCCAACTGCGAAAAACACTACATCGGACAAAGCGGACGCCCCCTTCACCTGCGCCTACATGAACATCAATTAGCAGTCAAACGGCATGATATCTCCTCACTTATATCAATACACGTGGACAACTGCGGACACTCATTCGATTGGAAAAATGTGGAAATCTTAGACAGAGGAAACTCCAAAAACACCAAAGAATTTTTAGAAGCCTGGCACTCAGGTCAATCAGCAATCAACAAGCATATTGAAATCAATCCAATTTATCAACCAATCAGGAAAAGCATGCACAAACATAGGAACAAAAATCAAAACAATGGGAGACACAACCAAAACAAAGAAGTAAACAATGACAAATTTAAGGTCAATAAGAACCAATCAACATCGAGGTGCACAGAACAAGCTTTGAAACACATATGGAGAAATTCAAACACTTCACTTCTATTTGAAGTTTGTGCTGATGATGTCGTTCAGAAGAACGATGAAAGCTCCACGACCAAACCATCCAGCTCAGAGAACAAAACTCCACCAGAATTATTGTTTTCATTGTCGTAATCTATGATGTAAGGCGTATTTCGTTACTTGTCGGTTTTGCTGGCTTATATGAAATATGTCAAGTTTTCTACGATGAAGATACTACTCTATTATGCTAGTGTCAAGTGTACGGCAGTCAGTTCTGACAGAAGAAAAGTCACAACATGGTGGACGTGCTTCCAAGTAATTCTATAATGGAATTTATCTCGAAATATCGACAATTCAGTGACTAAATAAACTAAAACATAACCGTAATTACTGACAGTGACATACTTGAATGACTCAAAAACGTGGAATTTATTTCCAGCTGTTAATACTACATGAACGTAAACATAACCATTATTTCAGTTTGTAATACATTAAGTCTACGTGACAATGTTGAGTTTTAAAACCACCCAAAACTGAAGAATGGAAATGCCCCCTCGATATATTGCTTTCAGATTCAGATAACGTAATTGTAGCTATAAATGACATTCGATCGCACGAAAAATACATATAATTAGAAAATATGGAATTAATCATAAATCAGAATAGTAGAAACAAGGGCACAAGAGTCACCTAGATGAGCTAACTTCCGTAAATCCTTTGCGTGTATTGTAATGTCTTCGGAACCTAGTAACATTTTTGCCTCTTCTTTTAATCCCAAGGGAAACAGTACAGGATCACGCACTGGCTGTCTATAAAAATAAGAAAAGTACATGAGTCTCGGAAATATTTGAACTAAGATCCTCTTACATCAAAAGCATTTGATTAAGTAATTGGTAAATGAAGTCTGTAAATAAAAAATGTGGGCTTCCTATTATCCGAGTTTGATTTGTATTCTCAAGACAGACAAAAGCTTGTACCACAGCTTACTATTCATAGTAAAATGAAAATATTCGACAAAGATATTTAATAGACAGGAACCAACTGCATATAACATCATTATGTTTCATATCACTATTGCTATCACTGTCGTTCGACCATCAAAATTGGGTATAGAGCTTTAGTGCTTTCAACATCGCTACAAAACGACCATTTCACCAGGCGTTTTGGATTCACAGATCAAGGAGAACATGAGACAACGATAGAGGTTACTGGTGCATTGGGTTGGTCCAACCGCCTTCCAAAGCTTCAGGAATTTCTGAAAAAATAATTTGATTAGTTGACTAGTTAAAGTCAATACTGTCCCTAATGATGACTGAGATGAAACAGAAAATCTACTATTTGATCACAGAAATATTGCCAGCATCTGCTGGCATCACCGGGTAAGCAATAATGAGGTTAGATACAGGGTATTAGGGAATGATGGTAAGTCAGTTGATGAGGTTGTGAATATTCATCGACTGAGATGGTTAGGCAACGTGTTACGTATGCCTGAACACCGATTACCACGACACGAAATGTTGACAAGTGTTGGAGATGGTTAGAAGTTAGGGGCGGCCAAACTAAAACGTGGCATCAGTCATCGAAGTCACTAACTTCTGGTTTGAGCTATGTTGGTAAATGCAGACTACTTAGTTGAGGTTCACGTGACTGTTGTAACTAATGGTTGGAGACACTGGGTGACATGGCTCAGAATCGATCAGTGGCGTCGGTGTATACACTCTTTGTCTTCCTTTAAACGGTGAGGGTAAAAGCGCTTTATATCTTTGTTTTTACGAACAAGTTCTTCCTTTATGTATATCTTTATACACAATTTTTCTTCCACGTATTACTACCATCGAAGTAACTACTCCTATGGATTTGGTGTTTACTTTGTTATGCTAATGAGTTGTGACAACTTGGGCTGATGCATATATGTGCCTGGTCCTACATTGTAGCTGACTGACTGACTGGGTTCGCCATATCTTGTATTTTTTGTGTGAAAATAATGTGAGAACAAGATCGTGGAACTTCAGTTTACTCATCAACCGAACGAAACGGACAAACAAGCTTCATATGATTGAAAAAGCTAATTGCTTATAATCCGAAATTTGCTATAAGTTCCGATTGACTGTGTGTAAAATTCTTGCAGTATTCTGCAAGCAAATGCTACGATCATAAATTCTACACTGTTCAACGACTGATTTTGAATTTACTTCTATTACGTGACATTAGGTTGGTTGAATCACTTCAGGACACTTTTGTTGGCCTACAAAATACGAGATTCCCATAACATAATCGGAATTCAGAAATCTTAATTGAAAGTAGTGGACAATAATACGTTTAAGCATGATTTGTTACAGCTTATCCATTGAGTTACGGATGAAGCAACTCACGAATTAAATTGGAGGTGACGATGATGGAACATAGCTCTAGATAAACATAAGTTGACACCTGTGTGAATTTGAAAATAGTCACTGCTACTCAACATGTTCATTCAGTTTTAAAGAAGGAATTATTAGGAATAATGTAAAATATGCCTTAGGTGAATGTTGTAACGGGTGACTTGCAGGTTTTGATAAGCAGCGTTTATATCGATCGATTACAGTGACACGTAAAACACGTAAGAACGGCCTAGGGTTCTGATTGGTCCCTCTTCCCTTTCTACCCCAGCCAGTTGAGTCTAGAACGCAAGTCACAGCCTGAGTTATGAATCGTTATTTCAAACATACTCTTTATATACCAACCAAACAGACCACATCGTACCATAAAAATAGAAAACAACATCTGTACAATATTTAACGAGTGAAATAAATAATGACCAATAGGAAATGTCCATTTAGAGTCCAAGGACATCATTAGACTTAACATGATAATGATTGGTATATTCCTCAGCATACCTAACAGTGAAAAACCGGTTACAATATATCTTGTGTAATCCACCACTCTCGTTATTCTGAACAGCTAATTCAAACCATCAATAGTTAGTCTAATAGTTATACTAGCTAAAATAATTGTTACTTGAGATTTCATCATGCCATATAGGTAATTAGGAAACAGGAAAAAAAATTAAAATTTAGGTTCTGGGGGGACAGTAGTACTGATAACTATCCTGGGGTATGCTGCCTTACCGCAGACAGAAGAATGGACTGAGGTAGGTGTGTTGTATGTCACAACACATTTCATTGATTTCCAAAGCCGATAGTAAGGTCTGAATGCTGTGAAGTCTACGGAATAAAATAAAAAGAAGGTACTTACAACAATCTGTGTAAGACTATATCCAATTAGGTGCCTCTTGGGATTTATTATCTCGCCAGCAGATCGACGAGAATAATACCAGCTCAAATTATGTTTTTTTTAAGAAGTGCTTTCCCATGACGTGTGTTTCAAAGTAAAAAGAAATTGAGATGTAATTAAAGTAAGCTCATGGGCTTGAGTTAAGTAATAGTCGTTCTGTCTTTTACGATTTGGATAAAACCGTAGTACTGCTAATTCTCGAACCCAATAAGACCCAAAAGTAAAGTTTCCATGTTGCTAAATTACACTGATTTTTAAAGTTCAACTCAAAATACCTGTCTATTTGTTATAAATGAAGTTGGCATTCATATATTTCATGTACAAAAAACAAAAATCAACAATGAGGCACCAGGAAAGGGGGTTACACTAAGTAGCGCTATAAACCGAAATATATTGAGTTTTGAAAGAATGCGTACACACCATAATATGGCACTCATATTTAACACTCATCTTACAATTATACAAAATAAGATTCCCTAAACAGGATTTGAAAAATCGGCAAACTTCCTGAAACCTTCTTCTTACCCAAAATTAAATATGCAAATGCAAACTTTCTAAGATACCTCTATTCTTTTCATCAAAAATCGTTAGTGTGGCTCAATGAAGGATTCTAACACATATAAATCAGTTAACGATGAAATTGACAAACAAATACCATAATTAAAATAACCCACTGTCACTGAATAGAAATAAAGATTTAGCGAAAATCTTTTCGACGAAATCACTTACTCAAGTTGTACATTAGTATAGTTGTAAAGTAAATATGTCTATAAAGGATAGAAAAGATTGCATCATGAATTGATACGAGACTAAATATCAATATTATCTTTCATAATTCTGACCGGTGGATTATTTTCACCTTCCTATTCTCTGACCCCTCATTATTACGCAGTCTCACTTCATATTTAGTCTCGTATCACTTCATGATGCAACCTTTCCTATCCTCCTATTGAAACACCAAAGCTATGAATCTGGAAATACAGTAACGAGCTTTCATCCTCAAATACCTGGAATTGAATACTCATAGAAATTTATGCAAGCGAACTTTGATGCAATTTAACAGCTCCCATCCTTTTAACTGGAAAAAACTTGATTGGTAATCGCCTCAATAAATTACGTAAAAAAGGCTTAAGGTCAGCCACCAAATTCCAGAGAACCTTTTGATAGCCATGAGCTCATTCCGGAAGTATTTTGAGGGTTGCCTTATTTGGCTTAACAAGCCCTAACTTTCTAAAGAATACCTTAAGTTAACTGGATAGAACCAGATGCTAGAAACCATCTCATGCGTCTAGTGATGAGACTTTTATTTGAATCAACCCATTGAATACACCAACAAAGAAAGTTATTATGTTTTGAGGCAGAAAACTTTATATGATTAAAAAGTAGGTAATCAGTTGACAAATTACTGATTTAAAGGCCTTGAACATCTTTGTATGACTTTGTAAACTTCCTGTTTTAGAAGGCAAGCAAAGTGAGAGCATTTCAACTCTAAATTCACCGGTCAGTTATTTGGAGATTTCAATCAGGTCACCTCAGATCTTCGTAACGATAAAAAGAGTCAATTAATCGTCTGACGACAATTTAGAGATTGTAGTCATTTACATTTTTCACAGCACATCGTCTTATTTGAAAATCAACCAGCTCGTTTTATGCAATGCACCTGTTTCGGAGATAATCTTAAAACTCAAAATATGGAGAAAACAAAGTGAATAAAACTTTACCAATACGATCTTCTAAAAGCCAGATCAACTGTCTTCAACCATTGGCTACGATAATCATAAAGATTTAATATGCAGTCTACAAATAACAACATAGCCCAGTTCAACAGTCAATAACTTCATGAATTGATGCCACGTTCTAATTTGATCCCCCTAGTTTTCTTTAAACCTACTTCTGAATTACTAAGTATTACTTGTCGAGATATGCGGTGGTGTCAAGTAACCGGTGAATAACCACAATGTTGCTAACTTGATGGTCCAAACATATGCGTGCAATGCTTTGAAGGTACCTATGATTAAATACTGACAATCTAACAATATTCCCTGGTTTTGAAGGTCACACTTTACAGTAATAAAGTATGATGGAATGAACTGCTGAACAACATGTCTGTCCTTAGAATATTTGAAGTGCACCTCGACCACCTAAATGAAATGTTGGTAAAACCCGTTCAGAATTATGAATTCCATACTGAGATTTTGCCAGGCACTAACTCACTGATGGAACTCCCACGACTAGTGAAGCGGTCGACACACTGAATTGCTTCACTTCTTATCATTAGTTTCGGACTTAACATAGATCAACCGCAAAGTCATCTTGTTTTCAAAGAGAAATCCATCCCAAACACGTCAGTATTGTTATTCAATGTGATCAGTATCTTCATCAAACAGGACTATTCATATGCTTATTCTACGTTAATGAGTGGACCATCTAGAAGATCAAACCCCAAAATCTCAGAAGACAAACGCGTGATCTCCAAGAGAATCTGAATGACGAAGTTATATAAAATCAAGAAGTATCCAGACCTGGTTTACACTACTTGACGTGTCACGAAAGGCTCCGCACCAGCTTCTCAGCTTTTAATACTGCATGTAAATGAAGTCCCAAGTATAGTTGAGTCCCCAATGCTACTATACGCTGACGATGTAAAACTCTGGAGAGAAATAACAGGAGATGCAAACCCATGTGCATTTCGGGCGGACTAAGATGTTCTGGCCAGTTGATCTAAAAATACCTGATGCTTATCGACGCCGCCAAGTGTCTACATATTTATTATCTATTTATTTGGACACAAATATTAGTACAAAGGGGCACCGAATACATACGCATCACGCAAGTCACTTGATTGTGTGTGGGCTGTGATACTGCCCAGGTGCCCAGACTGAAGCAGGTGTCTACATGCACTTTCGGGATACAAAGGTAAGTAGATACGGCATAGGGGAAGAACCAGTGCCCGTAGTCCAGTCTCACAAGAATCCCAAGATGGCAGTGAGCCGTGACCTTAAGACCACGACCCACTACCGCGAGGTCGCAGCTAGGGGATCTAGAACTCTAAAAGTTTTAAGACAGACATTTACCAAGTTGGACACCAGTATGTTCTCTACCGTATACACAACCTTAGTGAGATACAAACTTGAAAACTACGTTCAGACTGCAAGCTCCTGTCTAAAATGTGACTCGGATATCCTGGGAAAAGTGCAGAGGGCGGCTGCCCGTGCAATCCATGAACTCTTGGACTTACAATACAATGAGCGGCTTGAGAATCTAGACCACTTTACTATATACTACCGCAGATGAAGAGGTGGTCTGATTTTGACGTAAAGAGCAATAAAAATGATTTCGGACGTGACACATCCGCTCTTTTGTTTCCTACCAGATCAGGATATCTCAGAGGGCATAGTAGGAGAGTAGAAAAGCCAGGGACGAACAAAATACTCGTGGCATTCAGGTTTTCATATCATCAATTCTTGGAACTTATTACCCGAAGCAGTGGTGACCTCACATCTAACTGACTTTTTCAGGAGAAGACTAAACGCTCATAGAATCTTACTAGAAAAGAAAAGACAGGTCGTAGGCCTTCACTCTATTTACGCGCATCTGAATCTGAACTTAATCTGGATAACACAATATATATTTGATTACTTATAAAACGAAAA